GAAGAAGAAGAAGAAGAAGAAGAAGAAGAAGAAGAAGAAGAAGAAGAGGAAGAAGAAGAAGAAGAAGAAGAAGAAGAAGAAGAAGAAGAAGAAGAAGAGATAGAAAGAATAGATTACCACCATGCCTGACTTTAAGGATGATATTCACTTTGCAGAAAATTCAAAAGGGTTCTTGGATTCACACGAACGTGTCCCCCTTTTGCTACTCATTAAAGCAGCTCCATCTTTCTCCTTCAAAGTGAATAGGGCTCTTTTAATGAGTGGCTGAGAAAGGCTGAACTCATGTAGAGTTAGAAATTGCTTTTGAAGCACCCTTGGCTCTGCTCTCTCATTTATGGATTCGTAGCTTCAAACCAGAGCAAAGGGCAGCTGGTATCGATCATGGAGGAAGGAAGGAAGGAAAGAAAGAAAGGGCAGAAATCAAGATGAAGCATAGAAGGTGAGACAGGAAAGATGTTGGCTCGAAAGTCCAGGGGGGCTGCATTTCAAAGAGAATAAAAGGCAATATTTATGACCGACAGCAGTGCTAAGCCAAGCATTTTGAGAGAAAAAAGAGGAAATAAGCATGTACTCAGCCACAAGTGTCTGTCTGGATCCCAAAGAGAATTTAGGAAGTGAAATTCACTTAACCTTTCCACTTTCCTACTGATACATAATGATAGATGGATGGATGGATGGATGGATGGATGGATGGATGGATGGATGGATGATAGATAAAATGGATAGAACTGATAGATGATAGGTGGATAGATAGATGGATGGATAGGTGATAAATTCACAGAAGGATGGATAGATGGAGAAATAGATAGATCATAGGTGGATAGATGGATAGATGATCCATATATGTTTAGATATATGGATGGGCAGACAGACAGAAAAATATCTTGAGGTTAGCCAAGGTTGGACACCCTGATAAATACCATTTCAAAGTTCAATTGGAGGAATGTTTTTTCGTCTAATAAGGAGAAAATGTATGATTCCTTTCCATTGACTTGGAGTAGATAGACGTCAATGGGAAAACTTACTCTGTAGTCATAGGTTGATTCTGGGTTTTCATCGCAAGCAATGACTTCAGGTGCCATCCAATAAGGAGTCCCAATAAAAGTGTTTCTCCTGCCAATCGTCCGGTCCAGTTGAGCGCTGACCCCAAAATCAACTGCAAACAGGAGAAAAAAAAGGAGGGGAAACACAAAGCAATAACTTTGACAACTGTGGCTTAAGAAAAGAAGGAGAAGAAGAAGGAGGGGGAAGGGGAGGAGGAAGAAGAAGA